CATCCGATGGCGCCTGTGATGGTCCCCCAGAAGGAGACACCGATGGCGCATCCGAAGGATTCAATGATGGTTCTCTTGTTGGCCCGTCAGAAGGAGAATTGGAAAAATGAATCGACGGTTTATCGGATGGAAAGGAGGACGGCACTGGTGTCACTCCGATATTTACGGCCACGAACGATGGTATCGTGTTTTTATAAATCATCGTTGGATATGTTGTCGGTTCCAGTTGATTTACGAGGAAAAATGTTGGGGAATCGGTGGAGGAAATGATATCTGGGGATGTGATCGGTGCTTCTCGCTCGCCATAGACGAAGGAACTGGGTTCTATAGAGGGTGTCTTGCTCCACGCATGAGAAGGACTGGCGGAAGGAGCGGTAGTTGGTGGATCCGTTTTGTCTTCAGATTCCTTGTTTTTGTTTTTGTTTTTATCTTTGTTTTTGTTTTCGTCTTTGTTCTTGTTTTTGTTCTTCTTATCTTCTTCGTCACTCGTGATATCCTTGTTTTTATTATCCTTGTTTCCATTGTTGTTTATCATTTCTTCTTCTTTGTTGTCTTTCATCTCTTCTTCGTCACTGATGGTATCCTTATCCTTGTTTCCATCGTCGTTTTCCATATCTATTATATCATGAAAAATCTCGTCTTCATTGCTGATATCCTCGTCTTCATTTTCCTTGTTTCCACCGTTGTTTTCTTCGTCTACTATTCCATTTACATTCTCATCTTCATTGCTGATGCCTTGATCTTCATTATCCTTGTTTCCATYATTGTTTTTTTGGTCTTTTTCTTTGCTGATATCTTGATCTTCATTATCCTCGTTTCCATTATTGTTTTTCTTTTCGTCCTCCTYGCTTGTACCTTCCTCTTCATTGTTCTTGTTCTTATTGTTGTTTTTCTTATCTTCTTCCTTGTTGTTATTCTTTTCTTGGTTGTTATTTTTCTTTTCGTCCTCCTTGCTCRTACCTTCCTCTTCATTGTTCTTGTTTCCATTATTGTTTTTCTTTTCTTCTTCCTTGTTGTTATTTTTTTCTTGGTTGTTATTTTTCTTATCTTCTTCCTTGTTGTTATTCTTTTCTTGGCTGTTGTTTTTCTTTTCGTTCTCCTCGCTTGTATCTTCATCTTCATTAATGATTTTTGGATTGTTGTTTTTCTTATCTTCCTCATCGTTGTTGTCTTTTTTATTCTTCATTTCGTTTTCTTTCTTTTTGTTGATTATGGAACTGCCAAATCCTCCTCCATTGTCTTCTTTAGCCTCGTCGAGGATCATGTTGTCATTTCTACGAGATCCTCCTTCATCGTCTTCTTTACCCTCGTCGAGGATCATTGCGTTATTCCCACGAAATTTTTGTCTTGGCATCACAGAACCATTAACTAGGTTGGTTCCAACTTTTGCTATTCTTTTATCACTTTTCAGTGATCGATTGATGTCATCGGGTATTCTCGTCGCTCCTCTGACTCCTGGATTTCTGGTTGCTCCAGAGCCAGCACTTGCCTCTGTCACAAATCCCAAATACGACGCAGAAATCAAAAACGAATAAAACTTCATTTTAGCTGTCGCTCTCGCTGCTCTCGTATTTTGCCAATCGTTTCTGTCGTTGTGGAGGCAAAATATGCGTTRCACGATGTTGATGATTGTAGAATGATAGAAATAGTATCGGCAATAAATTTGGTTTTGAAGTGGTGAGAAATGTGAAGAGATATTTTTCGAATGCATTTGGCGATTCCACAGACATAAGCTGACAGTCTCGAACCGGCGCGCGAATTTCGAGCGATTAGAGTAGATAAAATTCCAGTCGGATACTAGGAAAAACGGAATGCATTTTCAGTTTTTTACTGTACGAGTACTGTACTGTAGTTCTTAGGAAAGTTTTCGAAATATGTGTTGAATTCCCTAACCCTCCAAAAGTATCAATTTCATCGTAATCTTTTTTGTGATCCATTCTTTTGAATCCATTCTTTTGAAATACCGTACCCATTCCACACTCTTCTCTGCCAAAACCACGTTCCGAATACTAGTGACTTTCGCCGCAAGACAGAAAATTCTCCATATGGGGGACAAGAATTTAGAATTTCCCTTTTCCATCCTGTTTGAGAGGTTCACGAGAATTTTGAATTTTCAGAATTTTACATATTTACATACAGTATTCATTTTTTCTCATTCGGCACGATAGTACGTGTAAAGGCTAGGTAGCCACACATATATGCGGTAGGCGGGAGGACTCCTAATGTCAAGCTCACTAAAGTCAAGTACTTGGCAATCCCCGTACAAATACTACTGTAATAGAAATTTTTAGCTCATTTTTACAGTTAAAAAAAGAAAAAAGGCATCCAATGGACGAAAATAAAAATATTTCCATTGTTTAATTTCTTGCTAGTCCCAAAATATTTCTATTAGTGGTCCTTAATACTTGAGATAAGCACTGATTTGATATTCTCAGTAGTAAGTACCAAGAATAGAAATATTTTCGGACTTCTACTTTTTTTTGTGGAGGAGGGGGAGAGGAGAAATAAAGAAGGGAAAATAAAAAAAATTGACACCCGGGGAATTGCCGAGTACTTCGTACTTGACTTTATTGCGCTTGACATTAGGAGTCCTCGTCGGCGGAGTAGGTTCCGAGCACACTCTTTGTCCGTGTTCACCACGATTGAAACGGAAAGTAAAAAATTTACGTTCCCTTACGAAGTATGAAACAAATCTTTAAAAAAGATAAGCAATCTTCAAACTGACTCACGCGTGCATCATGCATGCATCCATCCGTGACGGGGAGATTTGGGAGTTATGTTTTGGAGCGCTTTCGGAATGGTTTGACTCTGTTCCTTCGATAGGACCGGGTGGCGACATTCGTCACCGTTTTCGAGCCCAATGAACATGCAAACTGTCATTTTTTTCGATACGTCGACCACCTACGTTCAGAATTAATCTCATCGTTTTCATCAATCGTTACCATGAAGACTATGCGAGTGTTGTTGGTGTGGGGTTCTGAAACGAACAACACCTATGGATTTGCCGAGAAGATTGGCAAAGAATGGCGAGAGAAACACGGCGATGTCCTCAAGGTCCTTGAGATTGTCAAGGGAGACGACATAGCCGATCGATGGGACGAAGTCGGCACCGACAACTACGATTTTTTGCTGGTCGCCACCTCCAGCTATGGCGAGGGCGAACCCCCCACCGGCTTTGGAAAATTCTTGTATCGTTTGCAGGAGGCCTCAAAAGGAGGAGAGCAACCACTGAAAGGRCTCCAGCACGCCGTTTTGGGAATAGGTTCTACCTGCTACGAAACCTTCCAAAACTGCCCGAGACACGTGGACAAATACCTGGGAGAGGCCGGCTCGCGGAGGATGAAGGAACGGTTCGAGTGGGACGAAATGGAACACGTCGACTCCGACGTTTTGGAATGGGGGGACGAAGTCTGGAAGGTCATGATCGACAACACGAACGGGGACAAGCCCGAGGTCTGCCCCTGGACCAAGCCCGAGTCGCTCCTTCTGTCGAAAATCGTGGACGAGGACGGATACGAAGTCGGGCAGGGACCCCCCGGATTTGGCGTTCTGCAAATGCTATTGCTTGGAGCGGGAGCTATGGCAGCGGGGGCTGCCTACTATCACAAGAAGATGCAGTTCTCCGAGGCTGTSGGAGAACTATGATCAAGCAATCAATTGTTTCTCCTGGTATTGATTAGGAAATGATTTTTTGAAAYTTTCAAAGTGTAATTCTTTCACCCACGCCAGCACAATATAGTAGAAAGTAAAAAGCTTCTGTATCAATATGAAAAGAAAAGTATGTTTCTTTAAGATGATGTTCGCGTTGTGCGAAGTATAGCTACATCCTTTTGCGCATAGGGTTTGCAAGTTTCATAACGTAATTCTCGCTTTCGTTGCCTCAAGAACAAACATGGGATCGTTTCGTCTGTTGTTTGGAAGCGTCGCCGTTATGTCAAAGGCTTTGCGGGGTTCGAAACCACCAGCGTATTGAAAGTATCCTGTTGCAATACATTTCAAGCAAATATTGTTTATCGTAAATGTTAGTAAACATAGTATTCGTCGGGAAAGACGATTTAACGGCAWWRGAACGATTACATGATGTAAAATGAAGGTAGGAATCATGAACTCACCGTTGATCAACTCCATATGCTGTAGATCGGTCATTCCCAACCACTGGTTGCAATTGTGAACGAAAATAGGCAAGCAGCCAAGCAAGCAAAAAATTCCACTCCATTAAGTTTTCGATAATTGCAAAACAATATCTAGAACAACAAGTTCACAATGGATCATTTATCCCCATGGTATACCGCAATGGATGGATAGCAATCCAAACGATGATAGAAACGACAATATTAAATACAAAGACTCACCATAGCAATCGCCTTGCTTGGAAAACACCGATTGGACTGAGATATTATCACTTTCCCTCCGGGCCTCAGCACGCGACGGACTTCTTGCAGCACCTTGATCGGTTCAACCAAATAATCGATCGAAACGACGCAGGTGACCACGTCAAAGGAGTTGTCCTCGTAAGGCAGGACCGGATCGTCGTTGAGGTCCTTGGTTTCATAGCCTCCCGTCAGCTGGTCGTTGAAGCCCAGCTCGAATCCGTTCATCCCCGTCCCGCATATCCTGCCCATCGTCTGAGGAAACTCTAGGGGATAGTGGGAGACCCAAGACGAACAAATGTCCAGTATATCGGATTTTGGGCGGATGTTTCGGCGGTAGTATTGGGTCAGCGAGGCGGCGGCCGGCTCATCGATGTGGTAGACCAGCCGGGGGACCTTGTAGAACCATCCATCGTCGTTCGAATCCCCCCTCAAAAAGTCGGTCTCCCGAAAGGGCCATTCCTCCGGCCACACCTTGGTGAATTCGATGGGATTGACTGGGAATTGAAAAGGCGTAGAATCTCCCGTCCATTTTCGAACCAGGATCCCCCTCGAGCGGGGGTTTCCGTTCTTGTCCTGCCCGTAGGTCATTGCCAGATCCCTCTCGATATACCGGGGGTTGCTATCAAATTTCTGGGAATTGGTTGGTGCCCTGCTCGAAGCGGCATGTGCAACACCCGGATTCGCATTTGCAGAAACAAATCCAGCGGTAGTTCCCGAGACAAAGGTGGCGGTGGAAGCCGATAGAAATTTCGCTCGATTCACAGCGGCAGGGTGCTTACCGTTGCCYGTGGAAGCCTTCGTCATGAAAATATTATAGGCTGCAGCGCGTTGGATCATCGTCATGATCACCATCKTCTTCAGCGAGGATACCAATAGGATACAGCACCACCGACGGAGATGGCGGCAGCGATTCAATCGGCGGTSACCACTATTACTGGACGTCATCGTTGAATTGTCCTATCGCTAGCATAAAATAGAAGCGACTTCGGCTTTGGTAGTTGATCGTTGGATAGTTATACAGTATTTCGGTACTCAAATGATTCCAATTTCTAAAAGCCATGTCGTCGATAGCAAGTCCTTAAGATTTCTTCATCCTTTCAAGACGACAACGAGCGCAGTAAGGTACCAGGGGTCACGTAGTACCATACCTGTAGGGTTACGTACGTACGTACGAGTGAAAGATCTGTGTTATGCTGTTCATTTTCAAAATTGGGGGGAAAACGAAAATAATTAATTTCTCATGATCCCTCTTTTCGTTTACTGGAGTAATGCTGCAGTGGATCTGAAAAAACTTACTACGTAGTTGTACTAATCCGGTTAAACAAACAAATACGGTAAAAACAGTCACATCATCAATCATCAAACTAACAAAAAGCCTAGCATGCAAAATAAGAAATCGGAAGATAGCATTTGTTGGGACTAAAGAATCAATTAAAGTATCATCTTTCTATTGGATTTGCTGTAATGCTACTASTASTAGTAGTGAAGCAGTAAAAAGAACAGCAACCGACAACGTCGTTGTATTACTAGTAGCATGAAGAAAAGGATACGATGAAGGGGGTGCAGCAAAAAWCAGTAATGATTGCGGCCAGAATAGTCGTGATTTGTTTTTCAAGTCGTTATCATCCTCAAAAAAAAATATCGTTTTGGCAGAAGCAGTCCGAATGCTCAAGGAGGAACCAAAATAGAAGTACAGTAGTACAGTAACTATCAACAAGAAAAGCAACWGTACCCGTTTGGAGATGTAAAAAATCTTCATCAAATCCAATTAATTTTGTGCTACAAAACATAAAGAAAGCCACAATTCTGCAAGCAACGCCTACCAGAAACCCGTCTTTTCCCGAAAGTCCTCTACGATTCCAACGAGCATGTCTCTTGTGGAAATCCTGAACTCTTTTCTTGCATACTCCGGTGGCTCGAAGAAAAATACAAACGAGAGGCGCGTGATATCTTCTGGTGGAACATCGTGGCAAGTATTTGATTTTCCCCACGAAGCCATCGCCGAACATACCCGGTGTTTGTAGTACTTGTTGACRCGCAGGGGCATCAGATACAAATCGCCGGAAGCCGGGGTCAATGCTTCCACCCTACGGGTTTTGTTGTTTCGAAATTCGATGCGGCGTTCCGACCCGAGCGTCAGGACGCAAATGTGCTCGCCGTAGGTATCCTTGTGCCAGCTCATTCTGTGCTTCGGGTCCTGAAATCGATTGCAAAAGACGTAGGAAATTTTGACGTCAAAGTCTCGCTCGATTTTGGAACACAATTCCTCGAGCTTGAAAAGGYCACGTTCGTTGCTTGTCAGAGCSCGGCGTACCTTCTTCTTGCGAAATTGATAGCGGTCGTGTTCATAGGCATGGGACGTGAGAGTTTCTCCAAAGAGGACAGGTTTGGTGTCCCAAGGGAATTTCGAGTCGTCGTCGAAGATGTCGAAGGCTTTTCGGGCTTCGCCGGATGACAARAAGCCATCGTAGAGATACACTCCACATTCCTTCTTGTCTGTTGCCGCATCGAGTTTATCGTGAAAGGTTTTGGACTTCTTCATTTTTCTTCTCGCAGAATCTTGTGTGCTCGATCATTTTGTCCCATTGATCGTTCCTTCTTGGCTCGAAGTGAGTGCCATCTTGAGATCGATTCATTCGTGGCATGCATTTTGCTCCGTAAGGGGAATAAATCCAAGGTACGTGCAATTACTCGTACTACATGGGCGAACACGGAACTTATGAAGTCACRAGTCATTCTGTACTTCTACAGTAACTTCTACGGTACGAGTACCGTACATTACTTCCTAAGTCACGAATGTTCTTCCTCCTATGCTATGTTGCGTACATACCGGTACATAAGTACGAGTACGAGTACCAGTACCGTCTTGTKTCGTGAGGTCCAGAATTTTATTTTATCGTAATAAACTAGGTCTTGTTATGATTGTACTGATTCATCACGAATGAAAAARTTAAAGCCCCAAGAAAGAAGGTAGGAATACACATGAAACCAAATATAATTCCTTCATGACACGCAATTGCACATGGTATTTGATCTGAGCTTTTCATTCACAGTATTCCAACGACTCACATCTATTTTCAAACTTTTTCAAAACCCGCCTCACTCATTCGTCAGAAACAAACTCTCGAAACGCAGCACTCGTGTCCACGTACGGTAAAAATCCCAATCGATCATTTTTGTTGCTCACGGCAGGCCAAGGGAGATGATACTGTTATTATTATCATCTTTTGTTGTCTTTCAGTGCAATGCGTATTGAACGAAGTTGATATCTTGGCAAACCACTTTTTCCAAGGAAGAAACAAATGGGTGTTTCCGAAGCCGAAAAGATCAAGGAGGTCGAAGAAGGACCCGAAGCWTTGRCAGCTGCGRTGGACCTAGCCGAGGACGATGGTGGCGAAAGAGATGGCGGCGACGATGCGAGCACCTCCAGCACGTTGGACCTCCGCAAACTGATCCACGCCGAGGTCGTCCCACCGAAGAGTCTTGTGCTGATCTGGATCTTGTTCGCCGCCGAACTGGGATTCGATCTGATCACTACCGCCATTGCCTTTTTCTCCACTATTGGCAAGCAAGAATGCTGTGGATACACCGTCTACCTGGGTCCCCTGCCGATGACAACGACCATTCCCTTTTTCTTTTTGATCGTGACCGAGATCGTGTTCTTGGGGCGGGCCATCCTGTTGACGCTTTGGCCGAGCGTCTTCGAGGCTCGCCGCCTGGAACTCCACGGCGGTCTCGACGAGGACGACGAYAACATCGGTAATCTYGGCCAGGTTGGCTTCGAGGTCACCCTGGCGACAACCGAGGACGACGAAGAATCCGGGTCCCGGGGCGAAAGCGACAGCGACGGCAGCAAAACACCAAACGGCGAGGAACCCGAGACGGAGGGATCCGYCACCCAAGCGGATGCGTCGGATGCCGAAAAGCACGAGAGTCCTTCTCCGGARTCCCGAGAAGAGGAAGCGACCGAAATCGCGGACGAACCGGAGGCCGCGGAAGAAGCTTCCSATYCTTKCACCAGCGAGACAGCGCGCGAGGAGGGAGGCGACCCCAAGGACCGGGCTCCCGAATTCRTCGACACGAGCGCCGCCCCACCGGGGAAGGAGGCTTTCTGGAAGAGGGCCTGCTGCTGCTTGCTCCGGTGGAACGCCCGCGTGATCCTGATGGTGCTGAACTTTCTCACCCTGCTGAATCCGTTTTTCGGGTGTCTCATTGCCTACATCCTGCTGTACCAATCMGACAAGACGGAGTGCTTCGTGGTCCTGGGCATCGAGTCGCTCTCGATCGTCCTGCACTTTGTTTCGGTCCGCATGGAGGGGGGCCTCCGCACCGTATGGTCCAGGGCCCTGCACTCCCTGGTTCTCCTCCCCTTTTTCGTCACGGTGATACTGGTCCTGGTCTTTYTGCGGGARGGGGGCATGTGCTACTCGGCAGAGAGCCGGATCTTTTTGTTTTCCGGGTGCGAGATCTGCCCCGACACGGAGGAGCCGCCGATCGACGGGATGTGCGGGAATTCCACGCTGGAGGGAGCCGGTGGCTTGTACGAGGACCTCCAGGACCTCGGCAGCAGCTTTGCCAGCTTTTCGGACCTGCAGAAGATTGCCARCATTGCCAAGCGCGGGGCCGAACAGGGCGACTATTGCTCGGAGCAGACCAATTTTTGTTTTTTCGAGTTTTGAGAGAGAGACGAGACGAGACGARRSGAAGGGAAGGGAAGAGGACGGCCTTCGGCAACGCTGCTCGAAGACCTTTCTCTTCTTTCTTGCATACTTTTTCTTGTTGCGTTGCTTGTTGGCTCAAAACAATTAGAACGAGCGTAGAGAAGACTATTGATCCTAGAAACCTATTGTTCCAATATACTGTACYGTACTGTRCYRYG